TTCACTTATATGTGGAATTGAAGAAACAAATGAGCAAGGGGAAAAAAAGACCAAGAAACAGATTCTTCACTGTAGAGAAGCGGAGAGAATGTAGGTGGGTTGATGGGTGAAATAGGTGATGGAGATTAAGGAGGGCACTTGTCTGTGATGAGCCCTGGGTGATGTATGGAATTGTTGAATCACTGTATTGTACACCTGGAACTAATATACCACTATGTTAACTATACTGGAATTAAAAACTTAAAAAATATCTTAGTGCAAAAAATAAAATTTACTGTAGCAAAATGAGCTCTCTAAAAGCAGATTCTTAATTATTATTTTATGTGTTAATGAGATTCTTGAAATCACTTGTTAAAATGAGTAACCATCTAGATTTCACCTTTATCCCTGAGTATAGTCAGGGTGCATTGATCTTCAGTAAGGTCTCAACAGTTTAATTTGGTGTTTTCTGTGTAAGCAATCCATCAATTCCTTATTAATAACTTTATATTTCATAAACGCAGACAAAATCCAGCTTTTAATGTCTTCCTTAAATATTAGAGAATGATACAATTACTTTATAAGATTCTTTATTTTAGTGCTTTGTAATAAATTGACTATGTAGGCTTTTTCAACTATTAAAAGTGATAGTCCTTCCAAAGGCGTCCTTACAAAAAGTAGAAAAATAACGAGTTTTAACTTGGCAAAACATATGAAAGAGAGTATCTCTGAGTCACAAGATGAGTCAAGAGGGTGAGGTTTGTTTTTTTCCCCCCTTGTCCATCTGTTTTAAGGGAGTAGGAAAAATCTTTGATCAAAGTTGCTACCAAAAGTTGGAATTTGTTCTTTAGTATTTGACTTGTACCAAGTGCAGATCTGAAACGTTTAATGGTACTACCAAGATGGGTTTAATCTACTTCAGAGATCTGTGCCTAATTTGTACGAGATTGGTGTATGCTGATACTTCAAGAATCGAGATTCTGTTTCATGCTTTAGTACACATTTAATCCTGCAACACATCTGGTCTACAATGCTGGCAAGTGGAAGTGCTGAATAACTGCTTCTCTGGTGACAGTAATGACCAAATTCATCACTTTGTTCCATACCTAAAATAACTATTTTTACCATTTGTTGTTGAAAGCTAGCTTTCTTAGATTTTGGCTTTAAAAGATATTTATGGCATTGCCTTCCATGTTAACCATTTAAAAATACTGAAATTATTTAGTATAGATTCCTCCAGTTCAGCTAGCCTCAGAGTACTGAGTAATCTAGTCTGTGTCTTACATATTATTGTAATCCAGGCAGGAAGGAAGGGACAGAAAGGAGGAAATAAATGGGTGGTTGGAGAATAGATATTGCCTACTTTCAAATTACACTGTCTTCCTAAAGTAAATCCCAAGGTGAGTTTTGGCTGCATGGGGTATGTGCAAATGGTGGTGAACAGAAGATTAGATAGAGGTCATTCCCTGCATGTTTTATTTCTGGGGCTTTTTAAAAAGCCATTTGTCACTGGCACATTGCTTTGCCTTTAAGGAAAGTTGTAACTACTCATCCAGAATAGGTATCAACTATTTTGTAATATTTCACAAGCTATTTAAAGCAAAAGACAGAAAATGTCTTTTAAAATGTTGTTTTAAGGGGCGCCTGGGTGGCTCAGTCGGTTAAGTGTCCGACTTCAACTCAGGTCACGATCTTGCGGTCCGTGAGTTTGAGCCCCGCGTCAAGCTCTGGGCTGATGGCTCAGAGCCTGGAGCCTGCTTCCGATTCTGTGTGTCCCTCTCTCTCTGCCCCTCCCCCGTTCATGCTCTGTCTCTGTCTCAAAAATAAATAAACGTTAAAAAAAATTTTTTAAAAAATGTTTTAAGGGCTTGTGCCAGAGAATTAGTTAATGATACTCATAACTACAGGATATACAGTTAATTCCCCCCATTTTTTAAAGATTTTTTTTTAATGTTTATTTTTGAGAGAGCAAGCAAGTGGGGGAGGGACAGAGAGAGAAGGAGAGAGAATCCCAAGCAAGCTTCATGTTGTCAGTGCAGAGCCTGGTGAGGGGCTTGAACTCACGAACCATGAGATCGTGACCTGAGCTGAGACCAAGAGTCAGACGCTTAACCAACTGAGCCACCCAGGCACCCCAGTCTCCCCCCTTTTAAAATCAGAAATTGGTACGAGTCTCATGATCAGAGAGTTCAGGGAAGGACATTCCAGCAGAGGGTATATAAGGAAACGGAGGCATGAACTTTATGCTATAGAAGAATTGTGCCAAGAGCATTGTAGCTAAAGTAAAGATGGGGAAGAGAAGGATGGAAATTTAAATTGAGGCTAAATATTGTCAAGGGCTTTAGACTCTGTATCCTGAGCGTGTTAGAAAGCCACTACACATTTTTAAGCATGAGAGCCAGCAATTTGGCTGAATGTGGTTTTTAGAAAGATTACTGTTGGCAGTGTAAAGAAATATATTTGATTTATGATTCATCTTTATTCTTAATATTCCTTGTTCATCTGTCAAGACTGGAATGCTTTTGGATTAGTGGGGTTTTCCAGGTAATTGAAGATAGTCCTTCACCTCGCTTTCAGTTTCAGAATGTGAGTTTGTAAAACTGTTATCATGTTTATATCATAGCATTAGTAAATGGAATCTAACAGTTTCTATAAGTATTATGGCACTACAGTTCTGCCTTTGCTCTTTCCAATTAATGGTACACTCTAGAGTTACTCTAAATGAGATGCTGTTTGGGGACACGTTGTCTTTCCTTTTCCACTTACGGTGTATTTTAGTCATCCATTATGTTCAGTTTCCTCATCACCTTTTCTGGTTTGTGGTTGTAAGGCAAAACTAAAGATTACTGGAAAAAGTTAACTCATCCTTGGTATGGAGAGGGAGAGTAGCTTTCAGCAAACACTATGAACTTGGAGAAACTGTTCTGAAAGATCCGCTGATTGGTGTCTGGTAGGTTAAGTCGAGTTTTACTCTAAATTCTGATGGCATTTTGATGAGTAAGTTTTAAATCTGAAACACTTAGAATTAAAACTCATTTAAAACATTTATTGAGTACCTTTTATATGCAGTGTACAGAACACCAGTGAAAGGTCGTGGACTCTGGTCTGAGGTGGGGAAGACAGGTAAATAAATAAATGAAAAGCATTTAAGGGACTTAAGGTTTATTAAATTTTCCTCCCAGGAGTGAGGATATCCAGTTTCATCATGGAAAATAAGAAAATAAGGTTTATTTGAACAGTTGCTTTTATCATCTGTTCATTAAAGAATAAAAGGGACAAAAAAAGGTTATTTGTAGTTGATGTGTTTATGAGGTGCGTATTTCAGTTTTGATTGGATTATTGTAGGTATATATGTGTGTTTTGCTATTTGAAGCAATGTTCAGTTGAATCATTAACATAAAGGCATTTCTGTTATAGTAAAATATATGTATTGAAAACCTCAAATGCTGCAGAATCACATGTTGGGAAAGTATGGTTTGGGTAGACTCAAGTATGCAGCTTTGTAGCAGAGTACTTAGAAAACGATCACGGTCTTAAAAATTTTAGCATAAATAGCCTCTGGCATTTGTATTAAGCACCATAGCTATTCATTTATTAGCCTTAAACTAGGACTCGAGCTTCCTATTTTGGACCTTCCTCCAGGTCCTTGAGGGCAGCTGCTTTAGCAGAAACTAATTTTGTAAAAATTAAGTAAGGAGTCATGGTACAGTCCCTTTGTTAAGTGCTTTTTGAGGCTTGGTGGTGGGAGAGGTGGAGAGATGAGGAATTATCTTTGCAGCTGGTTCATTTGTACCCTTTTCACCATAGAACAGTGTTGGAAAGACTTTTGAAGTTCCTGAAGCTACTAAACTTGCTGTTTTCTGTAAAGGAAGGCATTTGTTTTCACCTTTTTTCTTAAGATTTTATTTTATTAAGACTTGTTCTTTGAGAAAACTTGTCCACTTTTTCCCTTCAGAACGAACTAGGAAAAATCCCTATGAACCAGTGACATTTCTGTGCTCTGTTGACTCACAAACCAGCTCTTATGACTCCCTTTACCAGCTGCATATGAACTACTTCATATTAGAGCAGCATCTGGTAGTTAGTTGTATCGTCTGTACTTTGTAGTGCAGATACAGTTTTTATTTCACTTTAACATAATATTTTTATATTTAAAAAATCTTTAACTTTTAAGTTCTTATAGTGAGAATGCCATATATTCGAACTTTCAAGAAGTTTGCAGTCTCGGTCTCTAATACTGTGCGCCATAATACATGTATACCCATGGGCAGCATAACATTTGACTTAATTTTCTTTTAATATATTTGTATTATTTCTGTTACCAAGATTAAAATTATTTGTATGAATTTGATTTCTTAAAGGAATGAAGACAGTAATGTAATTTAGAAGAAAAAATCTTTCAAGAATGCATATGCATATTAGAGACTGGATACTGAATTTTTACAGAGTAATTACAAACTAATGCAAACATTTCTTAAGTGAATTTTGTTAGCTGTGGTTCTTTTGGTTAAAAAACATAAAAGCGGTATTTTATTTGCTCATACTTGCTAAGAGTATCTCTGGAAGAATACTCAAGAAACTGGCAACATTGCCTCTAAGGAGGGGAATTGGATGTCTACAGGGTGGGATAGGAGGGAGGCTTTAATTTTGAACCATGTTCAAACCATGAACTATTAGAAAGAAATCAAACTTGAAAAAAATAAGTGAAAGATGCTTTGGTACAGAACAGAGATTGATTTAGCCTGCCTAGTAGGAATCACCTGACTCCATGATCGGCTTAGCATTGCAATCCTATAATATCTTGGTGCGTATACAGTTGGTTTGTATGTTATGGCAGGGGCAGGCAAACAAAAAGGTAACCAAATAAAAATACTATGTACTTTTCTGTTATAGGCAATTAACCAATAGAATATGTAAGTTTTAATTAAACTCAAACTTTGATTAACTGCTGGATTTTTTTCCCATATAATTCTCATAAAATCATTTTGTAAATCTTGCCACCTCTTTTGGTTTGTTTTTAGTTGATGCTGATGAAATTAAAAGGCTAGGAAAGAGATTTAAGAAGCTCGATTTGGACAATTCTGGTTCTTTGAGTGTGGAAGAGTTCATGTCTCTGCCTGAGTTACAACAGAATCCTTTAGTACAGCGAGTAATAGATATATTTGACACAGATGGGAATGGAGAAGTAGACTTTAAAGGTAAGAACATTTTTTAATTTAACAAGTTAGGTAATCTATAACTAGTCTTAGAGTTCTGTGTATGAAAATGTCTGAAAATTTAGTTTTTTAAAAATGTGTTTATTGGTGATCTTATAATAATAATGTTAAATTCTTGAAACGTGTGGTATATGAACCTTAATGAACTAATAAGTAAAAGATCTTTTACCGCTTGGTTCATATATGATCAAATTTATTTCCTTTGTTTTTGGAAAATTAATCTTATTTTGGGAAACGTTAGAACTGCATTTTTAGAAACTTTATTTAAAGAATGAGACTTACACTAAGCAATAAAAAATAAACTGTAGTAATAAGGAGATGAGCATTTTACACAGGATTATTTTAATCTAGAATTTTACATAAAACAATAGTGATTTTGCTAATATTACCATGGTACATAATTTTATATTTGATTCTATACTTTGTCATCAACAGACTTTGTTATTTTAGTTCCAGGAACTGAGTTTTAAGTGAAGGAGGATCTAAAACAGATTTTATGATAGATTTAATGTTAAACAGGCAGTGAAGAAAAATGATCATTTTCACGAGGCTTCCAACACTTTATTTAAATGAGTCTGAATTTTGGGACCAGAAATTCAAAATTATTTTTGTTCTGGCAAAACAGTCGGGGGGTGCTTGCTGGCTCAGAAGAGCATGAGACTTCGATCGTGAGATCGTGAGTTCAAGCCCCACACTGGGCAGAGAAAATTACTTAAACAAACGGAAGAAACAAAACAATGTATAATTTTTTTTTTTAATACTTGTAAGATTTTGTGTTTTTTAAATATTTTTATTTTATGTTTAAATGTTTATTTTTGAGAGAAAGAGAGCAAGCAGGGAAGGTGCAGAGAGAGGCGGACAGAGGATCCTAAGTGGGCTCTGCAGCTGACACATAGAGATGGAGCCTGATGTGGGGCTCAAACTCCTGAACTGTGAGACCTTGACCTGAGCTGCAGTTGGACGCTCAAGCAAACTGAGCCACCCAGGCGCCCCAGGATTTTGTTTTTAACTCATCTCTGCACCCAGTATGGGGTTCCAGCTTACAACCTTGAGACCAGGAGTCGCATGCTCTGCCTACTGAGCCAGCCAGGTGCCACTGTGATCTTTTAAAAAACCCCTCTTTTATAGTTCCATTCCAAAAAGAAAGAGTTAAATAGCTTAAAGAATTGTTTTTTAGTGGTAAGCTGTGTGTTACTTAAGAAATATTGCTCAAATTGATTTGACCTTAGAGAACTGAAAGTTTGGATATTTAAAAAAATACATAGAACCTTGTTTGTTGAAATTTCAAATTCGGCACTTTCAGTTTAAAACACTGCTTTGTAATATTTTCTTCTGCAGCAAAAAAAAATATTCTTTTATGGATATGTTAAGTTTTTGTGTGTGGGGGGGTATTATGTATTTTCCTATATAAAAAAAAATGAAACTTCTGATTTGTAAACACTTTCTGTTCTTACTCAGAATTCATTGAGGGAGTCTCTCAGTTCAGTGTCAAAGGAGATAAGGAACAGAAGTTGAGGTGTAAGTATTTTTCTTTACTGAATTCATTCTTCCTCTTATACCACTACCACCCATACTACATTATAAACTCCTTTTTTAAAAATATTCTAAAAGATGACTTTTTCTAGATTCTTAGTATATGTAACAGAAATTGTATATTCTGGAGAAAATCCTTTTAGGCTCTTTGCAACTAGTATATTCTAATGATGTCATTGTTGCTTTTTAGTTGGATAGAAAGAAAACAATTTCCTTCTAGTGAAAACAGCTATATAAACTGCTTGTCTTGGATAAGAGATTTGTTGATGAAAGTGGGAAGAAATGTTCTAATGTCATTAGGTGAACTTAGTTTATATACATATTTAGCCAGAAGTCCACTCTTTTGGTTTATGTAGGCACCCTCTATCACACTGAACATCTGTACCTTTGTAAGTTATTCAGCTTTTAATTAGACATTTTATTCAGTAATAGTTCTGTGAGGCACAGGATATATGCAAACATCTTTTGTAAATGAACTCTTAATATAAATGAGAATAACAGTAATAGCAATTGAACTTTTGCCATGTTTCAGACACTGTTCTAAGCAATTTTTTACATGTATTATATGCCAGTTATAAAGTACTCTATAAAGAACCTGGGAAGTTGGAACTGTTATTAGTCCCAATTTTATGTATAGAAACTGAAGCTTAGCAAGGATAAATAACTTTCCTTTAGGTATGCTAATTGGCCCAAGCACTCTTGACTCCAGAGCCCATACTTTTTTTTCTTTATTTTTAATTTTTAAATGTTTATTTATTTTAGAGACAGAGAGAGACAGAGCATGAATGCGGGAGGGCCAGAGAGAGAGGGAGACACAGAATCTGAAATGGGCTCCAGGCTCCGAGCTGTCAGCACAGAGCCCGACGCGGGGCTCGAACTTACAGACCGTGAGATCATAACCTGAGCCGAAGTCGGACGCTTAACTGACTGAGCCACCCAGGTGCCCCAAGAGCCCATACTTTTAACCAGCTGTGTAACTGCCCCTAGAGGCAAGATCAAATGTGAGAAGGAGCCATCTTCATAGTTATAATTCTAGACTAGATGTTTGACAACTCACTGTTTTCTTCTTCATTGAAGGTATTTACTTGTGATTGCCTTACAACTGCCATTGATTTTCCTTACTCTTTTTTTAGTTGCTTTCCGTATCTATGACATGGATAAAGATGGCTATATTTCCAACGGGGAGCTCTTCCAGGTGCTGAAGATGATGGTGGGGAACAATCTGAAAGATACACAGTTACAGCAAATTGTAGACAAAACCATAATAAATGCAGATAAGGATGGAGATGGAAGAATATCCTTTGAAGAATTCTGTGCTGTGAGTACAAAAGAGCTGGTTCTTCAAAAGTTAGGTTTTAAAAGCATTTATAAAACTACTTAATAGAGAGTTCCTTATACTTATTTGCCCTAGAAATTTATATACAGTATTTGAGTTTACCTAATTGCCCATATTCAAAGTTTTGAAATATTCCTTATGGTAACTGTTAATAACTAACCATTATAATTCTCAAGAATTCCTGTTCCCAGTGATTATCTGGTAATACACCCTAATGCTAGTACCATTTTGCTTATACTAGTAACTTTTACTTATTGTTGGTAGTCCCCCACATTACAAACAGGGCATATTCTTAAGGTTCATTTAAAAATAAATATGTTTGAAAACACTTGTGGAGGGTAGGTGTTGATGCAGTTTCAGCTAGGAATCCAGAAGTTTGGCTTCATGAGGACAACAGAAGTGGAGTGCCTATGCATGTTAGACTCATCAGCTAGGCAGTGTAAATGGTGATTCCTCCCCTGTCCCCTCTCCCAAGCTACTGATGGATTTGCCACCACTCAGTGCTTCCAAACAGGAACACAGCCGCTCAGCTTCTTTCTCTACTTTGCCAAAGCAAAGATACTAGCCTTTTGATACATATAATAAGGAGTTTTAACTGCAAGCTAGAAAGACCAGAGAATCCAGAGGAGAGGCGAAGATAACAAAGAAAAAAGTTTTAAAGTTTTTCAGTTACGATTGGATGCTACTGTGGCAAGATTTCCTTCCTCCCTTTTCATTTTTTATTTAGACCATACAAGGAAAAACTAATGACTGCTTGTGTGTCATGTAAGGACTAAAGTTGTTACTGTGGCATTGAAATAAAGTTCACATTATCCTTTAAGTAGCTTCCTTGCTCTCAAGGGAATACTGTGTGCATGCTGTTTCAAAAGGTAGGGTGATGCTCTAAAATTGAAAGAACAGACTGGGTCTTTTTGGAAGAGGGTTAGGCTTGAGATTGGAGACTTTGTTGCCTGGTAGTACTGCTGGGAGGGTTTATGTTACTCCTCTGTTTCTTCTTTACCAAAGATCACGGAAAGACTGGTGTGGAGTGTGGTCAGATTGTGCCGTGGGACCAGGCTGGTCATGTCAGCATGGGTAGCCAGTTTTCAAAAGAAGGAAAGAAAAGAAATTCAGGGATGCCTGGGTGGCTCAGTCAGTTGAGCATCTGACTCCTGATTTCAGCTCATGTCATGATCTCACAGTTCATGAGATGGAGCCCTGCGCTGGGTTCTGCATGGCTCCAGCAGCACAGAGTCTGCTTGGGATTCTTTCTCCCTCTCTCTCTGCCCATCCTCTGTTCACACCTGCACTCTTTCAAAATAAATAAACATTAAAAAAAAAAAATCCTGAGCATTGAGGGAACAAAAGCAAAAATGGAAAACTCTTTCCTAGTGATGTGAGATGTATATAGATGAAGATTCCATTTAGTAAATATAAAAATGTAAGTTAAAATTACACATAAATTGTTAGTCATTGGAAGAAAATTAAAATGTGTATGATGCTGTTTACGCTGAAGACATAAGCTGTGCTTTGAGTTTATTTCCAGTATTTGATAAATTGCTTTTGTATTTTTAAGGAGTGTAGTTTGGGGATGGAGAAAAACTTTTGTGCTTTAAACCCAACTTCTCTGAACATTGATCAAGTCCATAACTTTGGCTTCATTGAGTCCTTTTTATTCTGATTTCTCAAGCTATAGCAGTGAAGAGATGGGAAGTTACTTTAAAAGATCACATGCTTGTCTCCCTCCTTTAAAAATTTCAGAATACTTAAACATACAAAGAAAATAGAAACAATTGATGACAGTGTTAAAGTTGGCAGGTTGAACTGAATGCTTGTACAGCTGACACTTGAAAAACATGGGTTTGAACTGCACATGTCCACTTATATGCTATTTTTTCTTTTCAGTGAAGTACTGCACATGTTTTTTTGTGTTAATGTTTTCTTTTTTTTCTAGCTTTATTGTAAGAATGTAGTATGTAATGCATACACAAAATAGTGTTGTTATTCATGAGGCTTCTGGTTAACAGTGGGCTATTAGTTAAATTTTGGGAGAGCCAAAAGTTATATGTGACTTTTTTACTGCATAGCGGGGTTGATAACTCCAACCCCTGTTGTTATTCAAGAGTCAGATTATTTATTTTTGCTTTCCTCTCCAAACTCCAGTGAAATTAAACGGATTAAAAAGTAAAGGTTTTGAACCCACAGGACAAAGAGAATAGTAGGGAGGATAGCAACTAGACAATTTAAAACTCTGTAAACTGACTTAATAGGAGAAAAAATGAATTCTGAGCTATCAGCTTGTAAAGCTGAGCAGCAACTTGGTATATAATGCAGAATCCCTGAAAGGCTCAGAAATTGGTAGCATAAGATAAGTGAAAGTGGAGGGGTGGCTCAGTTGGTTGGCCCTCTGACTTTGGCTCAGGTCATGATCTCATGGGTTGTGAGTTTGAGCCCTGCATCAGGCTGTGCTGACAGTTTAGAGCCTGATTCTGATTCTGTGTCTCATTCTTTCTCTGCCCCTCCCCCACCTGTGCTGTCTCTCAAAAATAAATAAATGTAAAAAAAAAAATTAAGTGAAAATGGGGATAAAGGCAAGACTAAAAACAGTTGCTTGAAGTCTGTTTAAAAAGCATTCAGAACACTAGATCTCCCTACTCTGTTCAGACTCCTCCACTGTAGTGGGAGATTGGAGAGGGTGAAGTAATCTGAGTCTGGAAAACATGAGGAATAGATTGTGTGTGTGTTGGGGGTGGGGGGGTGCGTGGTGGTGAGTATCCAAGAGATGGCAATGCAGGAATGTTATTTGCAGACCTGTGGGGAAATACTGAATATTACCTGAAAATCCTAAATGATTATCTCTGTGTAAAAGAAAACAGAGAACGAAGGCAGGGTAGCAAACCGCTGTTTTCATAGGAATTGTAGAGCTAATTGGCTATTCAAGCTTTATTTTTTTTTTTATTTTTATTTTTTTTAAATTTTTTTTTTTCCACGTTTATTTATTTTTGGGACAGAGAGAGACAGAGCATGAACGGGGGAGGGGCAGAGAGAGAGGGAGACACAGAATCAGAAACAGGCTCCAGGCTCTGAGCCATCAGCCCAGAGCCCGACGTGGGGCCCGAACTCACGGACCGCGAGATCGTGACCTGGCTGAAGTCGGACGCTTAACCGACTGCGCCACCCAGGCGCCCCTCAAGCTTTATTTTTGAAATAAAAATTTTGGATTAAATTTAAAAATAATACAGATGCAGTTATACACAACAACATGGATTAATCTCAAAAACCTGTCGGGTGAAACAAGCCAGACATGAAAATTTCATTTTAAAATGTACAAAAACAAAACAAACCAAACTAATCCATGTTGTTAAAGTCACAGTAGTGGGTGGGTGGGTGTGGGGGGGGCGGGTAGGGCAGGAGGAAGGAGATGGCTAGTGCTGGAAGGGGGCCGCAGAAGACTGCTGAAAATGATCTGGGTGCTTAGCTACTTGGGTGTTTACACTGGGAAAATTCAAGCTATGAACATTTATGACTTACGTATTTTCCTTATGTAGGTTATATTTAATAATACAGGTAATTACACTTTTAGATTACCATGTCATTTATTCACTGAGATTTCTGTAACAATTCTGCATGTATTGAATGAAGCCCATGAGAAAATGTGCAGAAGTTTTTATTTGGTATTTTTATAATGCCTTCTAGAATGGACTGACAGGTTGGGTTTTGAGGATAATTTTTATGCTAACATCTGGTTATTATTTAATATTAAACTACCTTAGTGTAGGGGTTAGCAAACCAAAATGGGTCAAATCCTTCCCGTGGCCTGTTTTGTAGGTCTTTGAGCTTAGAACAGTTTTTTACATTTGTAAAAAAAAAAAAAAAATGTGGGAGAGGAAAATGCCAAGAGAAATTATAGGTGGCCTACAAAGCCTATAACACTTCTTATCTGGCCTTTTAACTTTGCCAACCATTGTCCTAGAACACAAGAAAATGCGTTATCCTGAGAGAAAGCCCTTACCTAGAGGCAATACAGGTTTTAAAAAACCCAAACCTCAAAAGCCAGCTTCTGAAAATGGTTAAAGTAGTATTGTTTTTTAAATTGTAGGGTTTTTTTTTTTTTAATGTTTATTTTTGAGAGAGAGTATGAGTGGGGGAGGGGTGGAGAGAGAGGGAGGCAGAATCCGAAGCAGGCTCCAGACTCTGAGCTGTCAGCACCAGAGCTTGACGCGGGGCTCGAACTCATGAGCTGTGAGATCATGACCTGAGCCGAAGTCGGACACTCAACTGACTGAGCCACCCAGGAGCCCCTTAAATTGTAATTTGGTTAAGGTGGTCACACTAGTAACAAGGAATTTTCAAACGTGGTAAAGCTTGATTTGTTCCTATCTGTTGCAGGTTGTAGGTGGCCTAGATATCCACAAAAAGATGGTGGTAGATGTGTGACTCTTTTTCTAAAGAGTACCACCCAACACTTTTGCTTTCTTCTCCATCTCTGAAGATCTGCTCAAGACGTCCAGCAATGCTCTCTGTGTATTTAAATGGAAGTATTTTTCTCTGTGAAGCCACATTTTCCAACACGAGCCTCATGAAGCCAACTAAGTGTTATTGAACTCTTATTCTCTCAATAACTCAGTGTAGCACTTTAAAGTCTGAAGGACAGCAACATGAAAAGAGCATATCAATGTGGTGAAGAAAGGGAAGGGGTTGGCTTTTTATTTATTTTTCTTCATCTTTTATAACAAGAAAGTATCTATATATACATATGTAAATATTTATATATAGATATATGTAGCTTTCTATATGTGTAGGTTGGCTTTAATTTAATATACTTGATTCAGAAGCAAAATGATAGAGTACAAAAGTGCCAAGCAGAACATAAAACATCCTTACTTTTATTTCACACAGTTTTATATATAGATAGCAAGTTGTACAATTTGAGCCGGGTGTTAGGCCAGCTATTTTCCTTTTCCTGTGCTTTCTCCTTTGAGAGATTGACAAAGCATTTGTTAACGTCCTATTACTTACCTTAATTACATTTTTGTAACAGAGGAGTCTGTAATTTTCTTTATACCTATGAATAGATTTCCAGGGACTAGGTCTCGTTGCTGAGCAGCTCTACTGCATCTCTGCCTGAGGAGAAAGTACAGTGCAGTGCTGCCGCCATTAGCTCCTCCTTGTGTTCCGGCAGGAACCGCACCAAGCTCACGGCTGCTTCGTTGTTACTTCTGAACGAGGAGCCATTTTCCTTTCTTAAATGTCCCTGAGTTAAATGTAAGTTACCAGTTGTGGAAAGGCCGGAAGCTATCTGAGGCAATCACGATTTATCTTAAGACATTACTCAATGAAGAATACCTGAAGTAATCATGGACTACTTACGATATCCATTCATTTGTTTCATTACATGGGTAAACAGTTTGTCATTAAACTTCTGTTTGAACCGTAAATTTCTTTTCCGTTTCAGAAAACTTGCAGCTAATCTGGAAAATTGGTGATACTTAATGTGCATGTACATATCTAAACACCCACACAGATTGGTGATTTAAATGGAAGAAGTCTTTTTATCTCTGTATGCCACAGAAGAGCAAAATTGTATCAAAATTTATACCTCTCCTGTTTCTTTACCACAAGGCATAGAGTGTGCATGGTGGTTTTCTTTCTTGATTTGCCCATATTTGTAATGGATGATAACTGAAGAAACGTGTGATATAAAAGTAGTGTATCATGTTCCACCACTTGATATTATCCCTTCCCTTTTCTGCAAAGGTACTATTGGCTGGAAGAGAACATTTTGGTTAGCTTTCTAGGAAAGTAGTCTTCCCCTATGTAGTTTTTCTAGAAAACCAGTTTCATAATCATGAGTGGAAAAGGGCAGGTTGAATCAAAGTAAATGAATCTTAAATTGGGCACGCCTGCCTGCCATCGCTGTTCCTTCAACTGAGTGCTGCACATCATGGGCTCTGTCTGTGAGAGAAAAATCCCGGTGCTTGGTGTCTTTGCATGACATGGAGTTTTGCATGTAGATCAATTTAAAATGTACCTCTTGTTTACATAATTTGCATAATTTTAAAAGATAATGTTGCCAAACTTTGGAAATGTTAATGTTCAAACTGAGAATCTCCACTACATGTAACTTTCTTCCTCTGGATCAGTACGTGGCTTATAATCCCAGCCAGTGGTTTGATCTGTTCCAGTGTCAACTGCCATGTGCTCTGCTTCAAGGGGGAACTAGTCTTTTGTGAATTTTTTGTACATAAGTATTTGTTACAAATATTTTAGCAAATGCTTTCTATTTCTCTTGCTTGTGCATATCTTGGCTGGCGTTACAGAAAAATAGTGCAAACATTATTTCCTTACTGGGGAATGAGGGTTTTTTTTTTTCTTTTTCTTTTTTAGTGGGGGTGGGGGAGGGGTTTATGTTGAATGTTTAGTTTTTTCTTCTGCATGAAACGTCATGTTGTGGGATCTTTAGAAAACTTCATACTGTATGAATAAGAAAATAAAATATTTGAAACTTGCTTGAGTGTACTCACAGTCATCTTTGTTGGGCTCCCACAGCCATTAGGTAGTGTTTTGTCCATTAGGTAGTCTTTTTTTTCATTCTTTTGATTAAAAAAAAAAATGGTAAATTGATGTTTGGTATTTGACTATAGGCCATAAGATAAATCTGCTTTATCACTGGTTAAAAACACAAGTCATTAAAAGGACCTACAAAGCCTTTCCTCATTATGCCTTTACTACTTACCCTTCTTCTGCTTCCAGCTGCCTTCGCCTCCTGTGGTTCCTGGATCTTTGGGCTTGCTTCTGCCGTGGGCCTTTGTATGGTCTCCCCTGCCAGATCCTGCACAGCTAATGCCTCCAAGTCTGTTCAAATATGTCCTGGCTCCCAACGATGTTCCTGGCCATCCCATGTGAACATACTACACCCGTGTCTCCTTTACCCCCACCCCCCCCTTTTTTTGCCCCCCTCTTCCGTTGCATTTACCCTCTGATGACAGAACTTACTTGGGTATTTTGTACATCTGTCTTCCCTGGTTACTGAAATAAGACGAAAACTCCACAAGGGCATTCATTTCTGTTTCTGTCCATTGTTCACTGACAGCCTCACTTGTCTAGAATTCCATCTACCTCTTAGCGTTAGCTCATTAAATACTTAATGAAGGATTAAACAGGCAGGCATTAGTTAAAACAACCTCTTGCATTTGCAGAACATCATAGTCTTGGTAAAAACGTTCTTTTACCATTTTTCACCTTTACTACTTAGAAGAAATATGCCCAAACACTGGTCTGGCTACTTTAAGTGTTTATTTGAAAAATAAAGTTCTTTCTTCACCATCAACTTTGTGATGTTTTTAATTTTATAAACTACAAAATAGGTACAAAGACTAGCTAGCCTGCCTTTGTTCACTACAGTTATCTTTGAACTGCTGCTTCTATGATTCTAAAAAACCCACATACTACCCAGTATTAAGGGTCATGATTCAGAGCGGTTTTGTGCGATGATTTTTTTAATTACACTCCATAGACAAGAAATGTTTATAAATTTATAAAAAGTTATAAATTTATAAATAAGTTGATAAGTTCATACAGTACTGTTTAAACCAGAAGTTTCCCTCCTAGAAGAATCATAAACAATGCAAATCTTTTATTGAAAATGAATAAATTATAGTTAATGTGTAAGTATAGTGTGCCAAATTCAGATATGGAAATTATCCTCAAAGTTGCTGTATTACCAAACCTTTCCTTTCTGTTTATGCTTCTGGCTGTGAGAACAGAAGTGATGAAGGCTTAGAGTGACTGGAATACTCTTCACATGGTTTCTTGTGACCACATGTGGAGGAGAAGGCTTTTTCTCTAGAGTCCAAAGACAAGATAAAAAGTCTCTTGATTTGAAATCAGAACCGATCTGCTGCTCTGCTAGCCACGGCTCGGATATTGCCATAAACCTTTGATGGAGGATTTCCTGCAGAGGAAAATAAACGTTATCTATACAAATATACCCACATACAGAAGCTACATGGAAAGCAGTCTACAACTCTAAAAAGAACAGACATTTTCCAGTGGATCGCTCTTAAACCAACAAGAGAACTGTAAACCATACCCAAATATCCTCCAAAAACATTTTAAATCCTGAGTCAAAGGCACCAACCTGTCTGTTTCAAAAAGAAGCTGGTCAATCAGATCTGGGCACTGATGGAAAATCCCATCTAGAGCAAGCTACTACAATCCTGTAACTCTTAACAGAAGTTAACGGACTTTGCTGCGCAGCTTGAAAATAGGACTAAGTGTGTCAATTAAATTGATGGTGACCAGCAGCTCTTTTTTTTGTTGAAACCTAAAACATGTTGCCTACTATTCTGGAAGGGCTTTTCACTGCACCTCAGGGGAAAGTAGCAAAGATTTAAGCAATATAATCCAACAAACCCTGTATCTTCTCTAGCAAACAGAATCCAAGCAAAAATACTCCTTTTTTCTTTAGGTACACATTTGCAAACCCCCATTTCTACTTGCTATCTTTAACATTACCCTTCACCTACACTGACTGGCAAATGTGGTTTGAGTTCTAAATTCCCTATTCTTTTCTTTCCAGAGAACACACCCAAGGAATAAATTGCTGTTACCCAGGATAAGGTTGCATATGGCAGTTCTTGCCATCTTGATGTTCTGGAAAGAGCCAAGGATGTGAACTTTCCTGCAAGAGAGAATGTGAGACAAGTTAGCAACAAAAAGCATTTCCTTAATGAAGCCCCCTAATCCAGAAACTTCGGAAAATCATGATAGATACAGATCTCTAAATAAAGAAGGTGGTGATGGCTGCACAACTCTAAATGCACTAAAAACCACTCTGAAGGGGAATATTATGGTATGTAAATTATATCCCAATAAAAATCAGAAAAAAAAAAAACTTTTAAGAAACCAAGAATTTAAGATTCTTAATGATGGTTACTAACAAGTGAGTGCCTTCTATGTGCTGTGTATGCCTTTATGTGTTCCCATTCATTTAAAAAATTTTTTTTTAATTTTTGAGAGGGGGGAGAGAGACACCAGGGGAGGAATACAGAGAGAGAGGGAGACACAGAATCCAAAGACAGCCTCCAGGCCTGAGCTGTCAGCACAGAGCCCGACATGGGGCTTGAACCCACGAACCGTGAGATCATAACCCAAGCCGAAGCTGGATGCTTAACGGACTGAGCCACCCAGGTGCCCCTATGTGTTCCCATTTAATCCTTACAGGAGCTTTATTAGGTAATTTACTCCCATTTTACAAATGAGGTAAATTTACAAGAATTAAAAAAACAAAAACCCTGTCCAAGATTACACACTGGCAGAGGTGGGATTATTAAGTACCCACAAATGCAAGTAACGCTGTATTTAATCAAAATATTTGGGTTTCAACTGCAAAGCTTTCTAAAGGTTATCTAAGTATAGGGGCGCCTGGGTGGCTCAGTCAGTTAAGTGTCTGACTTCAGCTCAGGTCATGGTCTCGGGGTCTGTGAGCTGGAGCCCGCATCGGGCTCTGGGCTGATGGCTTGGAGCCTGGAGCCTGCTTCCGATTCTGTGTCTCCCTCTCTCTCTGCCCCTGCCCCGTTCATGCTCTGTCTCTCTCTGTCTCAAAAATAAATAAAACGTTTAAAAAAAATAAAAAAAAAATAAAGGTTATCTAAGTATCTTTATTCATAGGGTCATTCAGACCTTTCTAATGGGTATTCCTGGCTGACTGACTCAAACAAGATGGACAACATAGTTTTGTCTTTTTGAGCCCATCTTTC